GATAACATCCTTGGACGAGCACTGACGGACTATGCTGTGGAACTCACAAATGTCTTCACAGACATCTTTAACAAATCACTAGGGCCAGGCTGTCGTTCCCACATGCCTCAAAGCCTCCACCATCATTACTGTACCCAAGAAGTCATCTACCTCCTGCTTTAAGGACTACCGTCCTGTCAAACTCACCTCCATAATTATTAAGTTAAGTGCTTTGAACGGTTAGTCATGCATCAAATCAAATCATCGCTTTCCCCCAACCTGGATCCATTTGAGTTCACATACCACTCAAAACGCTCAACCGATGATGGAATCAACTGCCTCTCACTCAGCCCTCACACATCTGAACACTAGAGACTCATATGTCAGAGTGCTGTTCATAGACTTCAGTTCAGCATTCAACACCATCATTCCTCAGCAACTCATTCACAAACTGGATCTGCTGGGGATCAGCACCTTGCTGTATAACTGGCTGCTAGATTTCTTGACAGGAAGACAGCAGATAGTACGGGTCGACAGCAACACCTCCAACCCAAGAACACTGAATACGGGGGCTCCCCAAGGATATGTGTTGAGCCCCCTTCTCTTCACTCTGCTGACCCACGACGAGATCTACTACAGGGGTGAAGTTAACCATCTAGCAGAGTGGTGCAGCTACAACAACCTGTCCCTGAATTTGGAGAAGACCAACAGCAACTCTACTTCCTCTGCAAACTGAGAAGCACAAGAGATTCAACCCCCATTATGAGCACCTTCTGCAGAGGCACAGTTGAGAGTGTCCTCACCAGCTGCATCACTGTGTGGTATGACTCCTGCACTGGGTTCTGCAGGAAAAAATGACAACGGGTAGTGAGAGCAGCGGAGAGGATTGTGGGGACCTCTCTTGCCTCCCTCCCCAGGAGATCTACTGCACCTGCCTCATCTGGAAGGTCCTCTCCATTACAGGTGACTCCACTCATCCCTTCAACAGCGTCTTCAGTTTGCTGCCATCAGGAAGGATACTGAAGAGCCTCCGGGCCAGAACACGCAGACTGAGAGACAACTTCGTCCATCGGGCTGTCAGGATGCTGACCATCTCTGCATCGAGAACGGGGGCCCAAGGGTACATCTGTCGCCATCTTACAATGCTGTGGTTGTAGCCATTCCCCACTTTCTGTGAATGGTACTCATAGCCATTGATCAGTAGGCTTTGATTAGTTGTCATTGATCAATGGTCATAAAAATTTGCATACTAACAATCATGGAACTAACCCCCCAGCACATTGTTCATTGGCGCTAGTTTCCTTCACTATGCAAATGTACTGTTTATAAGGTTGGGGAAACCTGCAGTCAGCTGAGGCTGAAGAAGTCACCTGGATGAGTGATGAAACGTTTCTTCCACTGAAAATGTCCAGATGAACAGAATCAACCTTTTGGGATTTACTTACCTGGATGATTAAGCACGCATCAAGACGTTATTTTATTAATATTTTTAAAATGATAGCGGCACACACGAAAATTTTTGCAGCACAAACCAGCACAAACGTTTAACATCAATTTTGTTTGATTTGGGTAATGTGGGGGGGCTGGTTGACCTTTTGACCTTTACATTTTCATTAATATCTTTAAAACAGAAGCAGCACAAATGACAATTTTAGCAGCACAAACCAGCACAAACGTAGCACAACTGATTGACACCAATTTTGTTTGATTCCATTAATATGGGGAGGCTGGTTGACCTTTGATGACCTCTAGAAATTTTTATTAATATCTTTAAAATGATAGCAGCACAAACGAAAATATTTGCAGCACAAACGTTTGATACCTTTTGTTGGATTTGAAGAAGTATTATTCATTATGTGTTTACAGCACCCTCTGTGGTTGCTCCAAGTAATGCATTTTAGAAACGGCTTTATTTAGAAAGAACTTTATTGAACAGGAAATCGGCTCAGTTGAGCAAAGCAAGTGAGCAAAAAGAAGGGAAACATATCAGCATGCAGTTTATGGTGTCTTTTTGGTTAAAATACTGTCTACATCTTCTGTTTATGGTTGTATCGCCAGTATGTACTTAAAGTATAAGTTCTTACTTTGTTTTTGTGCAATATGTTGCCCGCTAATGCAGTCCCAACCCCCTGACCTTGGTTCAGGGGGTTTTGGATGTTCATCTGTAACTGGAAGGTTGCCGGTTAAACCCCCCCCCGCCCGCTCTCTCTGTCCTGGTTGTTGTGTCCTTGGGCAAAACACTTTACCCTACTGGTGTTGGCCAGAAGGGCCGATGGCACGATATCGCTTCTGTCAGTCTGCTACAACTGTAGCTGCCTCCACCAGTGAGTGAATGAATAGTGGCATTGTAAAGCGCTTTGGGTGCCTTGAAAAGCGCTGTATAAATCCAATCCATTATTATTATTATATAGATATATATATACAAAAAACAACAACTTGTCAACATTGATGAACATTCAAGAAATTCAGATGTGCTTCACTTTAACTAAAGCATACTATAACTACACAAAATAAATAACAGTGCATTTTAATGCAAAAAAACCTTAATAAACAAAGGATCACAGTATCCAGAGTCTAC